TTAATGGAAGTATCTCAAATTAAAGTTTTGTTAAGCGAAAATTTTCTACATTTCATTATAAGATATCCTAAGCCTAGCATAGTATGTAAAAAATTAACCGTATACCCTGTCCAACACAACGGCATCATAATAAATTTCGCCGAAGACTACAATTTAGCTGACTGTGGAAATCATGTAATATCAATAGGAAATTGTAGTACAGCCCTCACAATAACGTTCTGCAAGAAGTCACCCTACACAACATGCGCTCAACAGCTACACTCAGGTGACACCGCACATTGTTCAACTCGGCCCAGCCACCTCGAACCTCTAACCATAGTCGACGATGGAGTAATCATCATCAACGACGGAGCAGCTACAGTCAACGAGCAGATGGTAAAAGGGACGTTCCTCCTTACCTTTGACGACAAGATAAAGGTAAACAACACCGTATACCAAAACCAAAAAAACTACGTGAGGAAATCCCCGGGACCAGCGGTATCTGCGCTCTTAAATATAACAGACCACCAAGAGATACCAAGCCTGCCATACCTGCAGAAGATAAGCATAAAAAATCTGCGGGATATTGCTCAACTAGAGGAAGGGCTAGTAAGAAGGCCAATAGTATCTGGGCTAACCGTGGCCATCCTTTTACTCTCCTGCTACGCTTCGATGAAACTCTATCAAAGACATCAGAGGAACAAACGTCAACGTGATCTTCAAACATTAATTAACAGTTTCAAGAAAGCCGAGGACGTCATTCATCTAAGTGGGGGGAGGAGTTAACACAATCGACCAGCAAAACATAAATGTTCAGATTGATCACGCGCCGTCAGCATGAATGTAGCCGTTCCCAGCGGATATTGCACAACAGCAGCAGTGGCTCCAACGCGCAACAATGTTGTTGCCCGAAGTAATGCGATGCCTCGCGTAAATATGCAATGTCAGCATAATCAGGGTTTAGGGCTAGCTTTGGATATAAGAATTTATGTCACTGTACTTTAGTTGATTTTTGATAATAAAGAACGTCGGTCGTCGCCACGGGATTATTGAAGTCTACTCATTTTGTGCAACACCGCACACTAACATCTAACAACTACAGCAAAAAAGCTTAATTTATATATATATATATGTGTGTGTGTGTGTGTGCGTGTGTTTGTGACAAGCTGCAGCTAATCTTTAGCTGTCTGCTTGGCGATTTCGCCCTTTTGTTTCGCCCTCTTCTGTTGCTGCTGCTGCTGTCGTTGTTGTTCTTGTTGTTGTGGTTGTGTCGAGTACATGGAGGCCATAAAACAAACACTTTTAGTTTGTTGAACTGTGACCGAGGGCTGCGTTTAATTTGTTGTCAAAAATTGCTACCGAAATTTGATGCGGCTACCAGCTGCCAGCTTGACAACAATGTTTTCCTTCAGTTTTCAACTACTCACAGCTTTTTTTTTTTTTTTTTTTTTTTTATAAAAATACGTACATTTGTTGTTTATAAATATATTATTCTTTGTTTCACTCTATACATACAGAAAAAGAAAGCTAATAAGATAAAATGAAGCTAAAAATAGACCTTGTAAAAATTTAATCCCAAAAAAACTTTCAAAATAAGACAAGCTCTGGTTACAAAAAAAAAAAAAAAAAAAAATATATATATATATATATATATATAATAATAATAATAAATAATAAATAAGAAAAAAGATAAAAGTATATATATATTTAAAAATCATCAATAATAATATATGTGTATAAAATATATATTTAGAGGCCCTAAAAAATAAAATGATTGAAATAAAATAATTGACACTTCACTACAATATAAATGGAAATTTGTTAGCTTAGATTATAATTACTAATAAATTCTATTAAAAATGCTATTCAAGCTGCCAGCAATTAATTATATAAATTATTACAATAAATATATTGTCATAGAGAATAATTACCAATTCAATGGAATACAAATTGATATTTGATAGCTTATATAGTAATAAGTAGCTGTTAAATTCAATTAAAACTTCTATTCATGTCGACAACAAAAGCAATGTCCATTGCGCACTTGCTGATCAAACAATCAAACTGTTGATGCCAATGCACTCTGTGGCTTAATAAATAATAAATGCCGTGGCTGAAGCGTCGAGTTTAGTTGAAAACTCTGTGATTGCAATTTAATTAAAATGTTGCAATAATGCGCAGAAAAGTAGGCTATAGAAAATGTCACTCTACTGCAGTGGAATAGAAGTGTTACCAAATACTACAAATATGATCCGGGATATATATTACATTTATCATCTCAAATATGGTTGGAATATACGTTATAGTTTTGCAAATATCACAGGGGAGGCAGTTGTTGACCTCGTTGACTGAATATAAAAACGAATTGGGTTCATCAATACTATGCGCTGTCTATTGCGCATAAAAACTCGAACAATAAATATTCACATATATACTATATGTAGATATGTGCAAATATGTGAAAATATATTTCTATTATTTTTTATTGCACATACATATACATATGGTTTTAATGAGCTCACCCGCAAGCCGACGAAGTTCTGTATAAATTTTTAATTGCCCAGCCATTTGTGATGCTTAGCAAATTCCAAATTTGTTTAGCTTAGCACTTTAATTTGGTCGAAATTAACTCTAGAGCTCTTCTCTGTCTCTGGAGCCCTTCAACTAGTTTCAAAACCTTTCCTGAGGCTACCCTCTTGCTCGTTAAGCGCAGACAAAAGCCACAAAACACAAAAATCACAAAAAATAAAAAAAGAAAAAATGCTAAATTGTTCAAAAATATAAACTAACTCACAGGATATGGGATCAAAATCTGTACTTGAGCATGTCAGCTTATGAAGAGATACAAAGCTCTCATAATTTCATACTTGTACGTGCAGCCAGACGACAATGGAAAACAATATAATAGACTTTTTATCATATACACACAGATAGCATATATACATATAGACCATAGCTGCCTGTGCATAATGCCTTAAACAGGCCACACAAATCTGCTACAGCAGTAGAATGCCTGCTGGTGGGGAGTACCCGACTGGTAGATATCATGTCTGAGCCTCAAATGTATTTTTTATGGCCTTGTTGAGTATATTCGCCTAGGATATACCCTAACTGTAGCTGAATTGGAAAGCTTTTCTTTTGGCCTAGGGGAGAAATTAAAATATTGGGCATATCTGACTCAGAGATACCTCATTAATCATTTTAGAATCATTCATAAATTAGGCGAATGTTGTTACTTGAAGACATCATTAGTCTGACTGACTTGGAATATATTAATTGTTAAATCGATGTCGAAAGAGTCCGACAGTATAATATGCCTACCATAGCTGTAATCCCCAATGGGAAAACGCCATGTAAAATAAATTTTGTGAGTTCCTGACTAGAGTCCGAGCTTAACCAGGCTTAACTATCTTTGGAAGCATTCTTGTTTTTAGGAAATTACTGTAATAGGGTATCTCTGATTTACAGATACCTTACACTGAACTGTCCTGGAAAATATGCTATGAAATATAGATAAATCGGAAGTTATGTGGAGGTAATAAAATATAATAATATAAGATCAATATCGATATATCGATGTTTATCGATAGACTTAAACTTAACTAAATATTACTTATTTACAAAAGAACCCTTTTTCCATCTATAATATTTCTTGAACAAAATCTGACTACCCACCTTCTTTCACTGTCGATGAATGGGTATAAATAGGAGCAGACTTTAAAGCTTTAATTTTCGTTACGGCTCCTCTGCATTCTGATTGATCACACAGACAGTCAAGCGGCGATTCCGACAACGACAAACCGGAAAAAGCGATTTTTTTCTTCTTTTTTTTGCGCGCTGAAAAGTCTTACAGTTCAAAGACTTTGCTTGCCATTCAATATCGCTCAAATTTTGACTGGTTGTCAAAAGTGAAAAATAAATTTAATGGACAAAACATGTTGCCAACAGACCTAGCTGATGGCAGAAGCCAGAAGGCTTAGGAACTGCTTCTAGCAATATGCAAACTGAATTTGATTTTATGTTAAGTTAATCAACTGTTAAATGGAGTCTCGCGACCTGGGCTCTCGAGAGCCAGCCATAAATTTGCTATTGAAATTTTATGTCAATTTTCGATGTAATCATTTGATAATGTGTTAAATTTGGAACTCATTTTTCATTTTGGGGCAAAAATTTATAAATGTTTTATTTCTAAATGTTTATTTTTAGAGCAGCTATTGTTACCCAGGGACTTCCTGTACGTTGTTTTCTCAGTGAAAAATATAAAATGTATAGTGTAGAAGAAGGTGTAGATGTACTTGATTTAGCTGCCTTGCACTTAGCCAGCTGCCAAGTGCAAGTACTAAGGCTTATCCCATTGCTTTATGTATTTCCTAAGGGCAGCAAGACAAAGCGTAACTGCAAAAAGTAACTGCCAACAACATAAGAAGTAAAAAACTGTTGAAGTAAAAAACTCTTGAGAGAGAAGAAGCTAAAAAAGTCGAAGTTTTCTACCGTTTCCGAAGAATCGTTGCTTGCAGCTGCTGCTTCTGGCAGTGTGTTTAAGGATAATAAAAGGAGAAGCCTTTTCATTTATTTCCATTTGTCTTCTTTTCTTTTCTTTTCTTTTTGGCTTTGCTTGGGTTTTGGTTGCATGTGCAGAGCTTTATATGTGGTATACATACTTGTTGCCGCTTAAACACTTAATTTATGAGTGGTGCTTAAGCACTTGTGTGTTGCGTAGTCAGTTCGTCACTTGCAGTCTCGCATTAGCTGGGCATAAATCGTCTGGGCCCAGCTAATGCAGTCGCAGTCATTTATTGGCCCATAAATTTCCATGCAAACAAGTTTTCTGACCTTAGCCGGAGTTGAAGTGTTTGCTGTGTTTATGCAACAATAAAAAGACAATAAATATTGAAAATGTATTTTTAATATATTTTTAATATTTTTTTACAATTTATTATTTACTTTTATTTTTTTTTTATATATTATTGAATATATTTTTAATAAATAAAAAATATGTTTTTTATATTCTTCATTTAATTAATTAATTTTTGTACATTTTTCGTGTTTTTAATAAGGTTTGATATATTTAATTATTTGATATTCGGTTAGCTATAAATGACAATCGGTTGCTGCATATTTGACTAGAAAATAGCTAAAGTTCAAGCTGAAGGACTGCTCTAACAATAATAAAACAGTGTTAAGAGAGATTTGTAAATGTATGTATGTCGATTATAAAATATACGTAGATATATTAGCATATGATATATGCATAGCATTAACAGCGAAGACCATAAAAATATAGACATTTCTGTATATATTCAAGCCTATGTTCAAGCTAGAAGCAAATTTCGAAAGCTACGCACAGCCCTGATAAGAATCCAATAAGAATAACATTAAGAACAAAATCACCAATCATTTTAACGTTCAATATATAACATTTATTTAAAACGCTTTGCAAGACAAGTTTAACTTTATATCTGAATTGTACTTAAGTCTGGAAAACTGTAAGAAAACAAGTTTCAAGGCAAATCCCTAGCCTCGAAGCCCTTTATCGAACTCTTTTGCTACAATAGTTAAATAAAACTATTAGTTAACATTAACACACTGTACATTTATAACGATATATGTATATACATATATAACTATCTGGAAATAACTATTTATAAAGATTTATTTGCTATCTAAATACTTGCAGCGCGGACGCCTTTCATTTATCACAGCGACTTGGGCGTGGCATAGCCATTTCTGCCACTGACCGTTTCATTGTTGTTGGCCGGGTTTTGCTTCTTGCGCTTCTTGCGCCATGGAAACTTGCTCCCCTCTGCTCCAGCGGCGCCTCCTCCTCCCGTGGTAGCTGTGCTCGCCGTCTCCTGGTCGGCCAGACTGCTGCTGCCACTGTAGGCCGGTTCTTCCCGCCGGCTGATTACACGCGTTAGCTTGAGGCGCGTGGCGGGCTGCGGCGGCTCTTCTGTGGACTGGGCGGTTGCCAGCAGCAACGCGCCGTTATTTGTGGCCAGCAGCGTGCGTTTGGCACGTGCAGGCGCACAATGGCTGCGAGCCACTTCAACCACTTCCGGGTCCAGCAATGCGTGTGTATTGACATCACTTAGCCGCGAGCTCTGCGTCTGCAGCAGGCGATGCGGCACGGCGCTGCCCGCCGACGTCGCGTACAGGTCCTGTTTACGCTGACGCCTGCCAGCAGCAGCAGCACCACCACCAGCAGCACCACTGCCGCCGGCACCTGCACCGCCAACAGCGGCCAAGCTGCTGCTATTAATAGTCGTGGTTGTCGTATTCGTGCGAATGCTGTCCTGCTGCGACAGCTGATGGTTGGCATCGCGACAGCGGAACTGCACCACACGATACGATCCATATGGCTCCAGGGCATTGTTGTTGTTGCTGCAGCTGACGGGCTGCAGCCGCATCGATCCCTGCAGTCGCATCAGAGCACTGTAGTTGTGCTGGTGGTACTGGTGCTGCTGCTGATTGCGCGCCAGGCCGAATTGACGTGTTAATGTAATCTGCAAGGCACATTAAGGGAAAACAAAAACCTCAAAGATTGCCGGCACCACTCACCTTGAATGCCTCCCGGAACTTGTGGCTCATAATGTTGTACAGCAGCGGATTGATGCACGTGGACAGGAAGTAGAGCACGCCGGATGTGTAGTGAAGTATGTGATAATAGTCGTTGAAGGCATCGCGACAGCGGCAGACATTAATCAGCGAAACGCCATACACAGCCATCAGGCGCTGGGCGTGAAAGGGCGCCCAGCAGAGAAAAAAGGCAACGGCTACAGCTACTGCAAAGAGGGCAGAATGGTATATCAAATACTTGGGGTGGCCTCGGTCTCTGTGCGGTGTGGGAGGCGGTGGGGGAGGGTATGGTTGTATAGGTTTTAGGTATATGGCGGCACACATGGCGTATGCGCATCATTGCGTAAAGTTTTCAAAGTGCGTCGCCAACTTAGTTTCGCTTTTCTAGCTGTGTAATCAGTGTATGTGCGTGTGTGTGTGTGTGTGTGTGTGAGGGTTCAAGTGAGAGGCTTTTAGAGGGTATGCGATAATTGCTCGTTGCTACACTCAGAGAATAATTTAATATTTTAGTATAGCTTTTCTGAACAAATTATTTTGGTTGATGGGGTGTTTCCCAAATTAAAGCTAATAAATGTTTCACACATATGTAAATGACAATAAAAATATATAATAAATTTCTCATATCAAAATTATTCCCAGAAGTTTATGTGCCAGAATGTTTGTATATACAACATTTTTCTGACAAAATAAAATATTTTAAATTTTTTATTAAATATACCCATATATCATCATAATATATTTTGATATGTTTTTAACTTACAACATTTTTGTTTGTACTTTGAAAATTGTAATCCTAAAAATGAATATATAAAAAAAAAAATAAATAAATAAAATACATAAAATAAATAATAAAATATATTGTATACAAAATAATTACTATAGAATTCTCTCTGGGAGTGCACAAAGTTGGATAGTTTGTAAACAATACATATTTCACTTATACTTAATTAAAATTATTTATAAAGTGAATTAAATTAAAGAATAATGGATACATATATGAAAGGAAAATGATAAAAAATTATTTATATAAAAAATAAATAAAAAAAAAATAGAATAAAAATTGAATCATTATATTTTAATATTTTTGTATCATATTATTTACAATTATTTGAAAATATTAAAAAAAAAATAAAAACTAAACAAAAATATGACAAGGTTTTCTCTGAGTGCATGACAAAAATCGACAATGTGCTTAGAGCAGAATGGGTGCTGATTTCAATCAATAAATCAATCAAACGGATAACTTGGCCCGCACTTACCCAACATTCTGATGACACGACTTTGCGCGTTTAGGCCACGATTCGCGTCATAAGCGCGCCTCGGCAGCGACTGCAGCAAACGGCTACGCTTCAGCTTCATGCCAATCAGCACATAGAGCACACAGATCGCCGTCATGGGTCCGCAGAAGAATATAAAGCCCGAGACGGCGAAAACATGCGCGTAAAAGTTGTTCTCCATCTGCAACACGGAATGGCAAGTAAAGTTGCGGCTTGATGGGCAATTAAGCCAGCGCTGTACCTACCGTGCAGGAGTAGCCATCGCCCTGGTTAACCACCGAGAACTGCATGGCCTGTGGCAGCGCCAGCAGGAAGGCTGCCAGCCAAATAGCAAAGATGAATTTGATGGCACGCGATAACTTGGACATGGTGTGTTGCCTGTAAATGTTTCATTTTTTCAATTTATGCTCCTAAGAACTGACAGTTACATGACTGAAGTACACTTAATGAAACTTTGAGTGCTTGTGTGTGTGAGTGTGGGCGAATGTGTGTGTACAAAACATAAACTTTTTAGGTGGCAACAGAAAAAGTACTTAGTTACTTCAATTGCTACAGTTCTTAAATTCCTCTCAATGATGGCAGATTTATACTACATTAATTTTATTAATATGAGAAGAGCTTAACGCAAGTCCTTCTCCACATGTTTTAAGTTGCTTCGTAGATCTAAAGCTCTGTCTGTATTTTGTCGTTATATTCAGAGACCTGACGTGACTTGAAGTCAGACAAACCCCTTTGACATCATATTTTAATTTTCGTAAGAACAAATTATTAGGCTTGGTAAATTATAAAATGACTAGGGGAGCCAATATTTTTCCTTCCAATTTCTACAGTGAACCTGCAAGCTAAGGAATTAAAATGTACTTAATTAAATATTGTATATTGTATAAACACCTACATAAGTTCCTCTGAATACAAAGTCTATTTATAATCAGAGAAATAAGACTTGGCGCATGGGACTGTGGGCGTAGTATGAAAACGAACAGACTTTAAGGAAAGGACTTTCAGGTAAGCGCACCCTTGCTACTATTTTCCGGGGACCCATTTCCATTGACAAATATACTAGTATATACAAGGTGGGGCAAATGACCTATTTATGCCTTCATATTTTGGTGAAATTCTAGTATACGCTTGTAAACAATACTCAGAACTATCATTTAACATTATTATAAATAAATAGCCGCTAAAGAAAAAAAAAAAAGAACAACAGCTCTGGTATATGTATGTATATCTAAGGCTTGTTATACTGCCTGTAAACAACCCACTGTATTAAAAAAATATTAAAAATTGTTAAAATCTTTTAGAAAATTCGTAAAGCTAATAAGTTCTATTAGTCTTAAGACTTCTCTGATTCAAACCGCTTTGCTATAATTTATTAATACTTTTGAATTCTTTTTTTTTTTTTAATTTTTCTTATCATAAATAATGAATATTAGTGCTTCAATATCGAGTTTGAGTTAAATCTATATATCTTCTCTATCTATTTTCTGTATCAATCTGTTGATCAACTAAAAATTAATTTTATATCATGCAACAACTACAAATAGATACGAAAATAGCAAACTGTTTGTCTTTCTAATTGAAATGTGTAAATGAAAATGGGGAAAAACTTTGCAAAGTTTTCTAATCCCCTGTGGCTAGGAAAACGGCAAAGGTGACCCTAGATAAAATAGGAGTGAAAACACAAAAAGAGGGCAAAAAAAAAAAAAAACTTAATAAAATTGAAATTACTGTTTGTTTTCATTTGATAATGAAGATAATAGTAATCGATGGAAGATAGCGCTGCCCATATAAATATTCATTATGCTTGATAACTACTGTAAAAAGTAAGTATATAAGTACATTAAAGGTATATATATATATATATATATATATATAAGTATATTAAAGGTATTTATTATGCAGTGGATACTATCTCAACTAGTTTGGCTTTAATTACCAAATACCAAAAGTCAATGAAATAATTTCGTCGTGTAATATTGTAAGTGGTAAGAAGCAATAAATATTATATATACATTTTGGGATTAATTAAGTGTGCCTATATTATGTTAGGGGATATAAATTATAGCCATGAGCCAGTGTTGCCGTAGCTAATTAGTTGTTATCTTAGGGTCAATACACGCACACTCACTTACCGAAATGGATGGCAGATGGCTATGTAGCGCTCCACAGTGAACGCCGTGATGGTTAGCACCGTGGCGTTGGCTGCCATTTCGGAGAGGACGCTCTCTATGATGCAGATGCCGTCCGTGAAGGGGTACGAGTCGGGACACCACAAATCGTACAGCTCCTGTGGTATGCCTAACAAGATGGCCGGAAGTAGCACATCAAGCATACGCAACGTTAGCCCCTTGGCATTTACTTCACTCCCACTCGACTTACCTGCGATGAGCAGAATCAAATCGGAGACGGCCAAATTGAACAGATAGAAGTTGGTGGCCGTGTGCATAAAATTGTTTCGCGAAATGACAATACAGGTTATTAGGTTGCCCAGCACGCCGGCCACAAAGATTAGCGCATAGCAAATAGTTAGGAAAATGAGCAGCGTGGGCGACTCCTCCCAGTTATCTGCGATAGTTGTTGCCGCTGTCCCTGTTGCTGTTGCCGTTGTCGTTGTTGTGCCATTTGTGCTATTTGCTGTTAGCAGATTTGTTAGATTCTCGGTCGTCATGTTGAGCATTTGGGCGACATGTGTTAGGAATTTGTCATTGTGCAGCAACAACAGCTCCGGGCTGGGGCTGGAGCTAGAGCCAGAGCTAGTGCTGGGACTCGGACCGAGACCGAGACCGACACTCAGACTGGGCCTGCCATTGGGCAACGTATGAGCCATGAATGATTGATTGAGGCCATCATCATCGTCACTGCTTCTGGCAAGTGCAAAGTCAACGCTTTGCCTCATGCTGTCGCCGCTGCGTCAATTAATCGGCGCCCGTTGGTTTGGTGTTGACTGCCAACACTGTTATTAATATAGTCTGCTGTTGTCACTGCTGCTGCTGCCCGCACTTATCGTTATGTTTGACGTGCTGGCTGTGCACATGGCTGATAAGCTCGGCAGCCAGACGACAGGCCCCGAAAAGAACAACCTAAGCCACACAAACAAAAAACAGCCAAAAATTGTGCATTCGCCTGTAAAGCAAACAACATTAAAAGTCATTAGTCTCAAGCATGAATTTAAATTGTTTTCCAAAAATACTTGGAACATCGGCCTATCTGAGACTCCTGCGGCTTCGACACGCACCGGATTACAACAGGTGGCTAGCCACCTGGCCCTGGGTTGATCACATCTGCGCAATATGCGAGACACTTTAAGTGATAGAAATTCATGCGGAAATTTTATGGCTTATTCGCAATTCCGTTCGACTAAAAATAGGCAGCATCCACTTCACATTGCTGTGGGGCAAGAGTTGTTGGCATAGTTTCGGCCCCCCTCCCCGCCCACTTTGTTTGCTGCTGCTGTTGCTGCCAGACGGAGCAAACTTTTCTGGTATTTGTGGTCAGCATAGTGAGGGAAAAGTTTTCGGAACACGAGATAAAATATGATCTGGCAATGATGATGAATTTAAGCCCGGGGCTTAATACGAATACGTATACGCAATTTACAGCATCTCTGATAAATGGCATTTAGAGCTCATAATTCACTCATTATTTTTCGTTGGCACGTTGACAATATGCATACGTAAATCTAACAGCTGCCAGCAGCATGGCCATAGCACAGGAGTCGAGCGTGCGAACTTTTGAACCACACACGCCAACGAGCGAGCCTCTTGGCATTAATCATATTTACAGCTCGTGTTCTTTGCCAGCCTTGAATTCGGAATACCTTTTGCATACATTTAGCTGACGTCCGGTAGCATTTTCTTCGAACATCCCCCATTAGATTGAAAATGAACCAAAACCGCAAAGATATTAACTGAAGTGGGGTAAAGCCAAATGATTCCTGGAATCATCGATGCCTTGGCTAATAATATAAAATTTTAGTATATCTAATGCTTGAACTCTAAGCCTAGGTAAAGGATAGGTGTTGATTAAAGTCTTAAGGTGGCGCATAAGAAACTGAAAAATTTACTTCGAGCGAAAATAAATTAGAAAGCTTTGATGAGGTCAAATTTATTAATTAGAAATTATTATTTAATATTTATGAAAATTTGGTAATGATTTCTCATGAGTTAATTGCTTTATTAAGAGAATGAAATATGTATACAAATTATAATTTTTCATCAATTTTTTACGATCAGGTTTATTTTAGTAAACTTTTATATTTTAGTCTTTTTTAATTTTCATAGATTATAGCTCACAAGAATTGAATTGGATATTATAGTGATTTATTGGCACTTCTTAAGAATTGTATATTCTCTCAGGTATATATCAGTTATATCAGCTGTCCGTGTTTATGGTTAAATAAAATTAAAAATAAACAAAGAATTTGGAAAAAATATTTGTTTTAAATATTATATAGCTAATTGTTGTTTTCCACTTTAATAAAAACAATTTTTTTTTTTTAATAAATAAATAAAAATTCAGTTACATATCCATAACAACACGAATTATTTTGTTGCTACCAAAACACCTGATCCTAAATAAAAATTGCAGTTCCATGTTCAAATCTCTCACATTGTACTAAACGCCAGGAATCTGTGCGAAAATTCAATTTAAAGCTCTTTTATATGATTTTGGCAATAAGAGGAGCCAAAGTTCCACTGTGCAATGCAACACCAAAAAGAAATTTAACTGCACTTTGTGAAAAATTTGATTAGATAAATAAAATGGCTGCAGCCCAAAGTTTTTCTAGGGATTTAATTTGACATATAATTGATTTATTGACAAAGAAAAATAGTTCAATATGAAAATTTTCTTAACAATGCAATTGAATTACCATTTACTTGATTTCTCTTAGACTGTCAGTATTCTGTTCTGGGAATCAACTGAGATTATATACATTCTCGTTCACTTAAAATCAAATTAAAATCTTTCATAAATACCTATAATGCATTTCACATGAAGTACAATCACTTGGCGCTTTCCGGTTGCACAACTGAAAATTTGATTTAGACATGTGAAAAATAAAATCTTTCTTGGAATTTGATTGTCCTGCTGTGAAACCCGTTTCATGAAATGTTTATGTGTATAAGTATGCATGTAGATGCGAAAGCCCGCAAAAAAGGACACTTGCTGTTTGTTATTGAGGAAATATTGCGACGTTGTAAATATTTGTTGTTGGAATAATTTAGTTTAGCCCAATCAGGCGTAAATGTCGGCTAGCCCAACCGAAAAAACCCCAAAATAAATAATTCTCTCTTTGTCCCTTCTCTTTCTCTTAATGTCTCTCTCCTGTCTGCTGCCCAAATACTTGAGTTCGATTTATAATAATTGTCTGTCCGTCTGTCGATTTCTTGTTTTCTACCAGGCATTTGATTGTTGCGCAAGGTCATGCCAGTTATTGCGGCTTAAAAATTCACAACCGCTGGCTTTAAGTCTAAATGAAAATTCAGCTTACCCACTTGCGTTCAAATGACAAAGGCCATTAAAAACGGTTTGATTTGATTTCCCGTCACTTAAGGTGGATCAATGAGCAGTCGCATCAAGGCAAGGCAACAATTGTTCATATCACTTTACATCCTTAGCCAAACTCTGCGCTGTTGCTAGACGCTCGTTGCCAATGCCTGCAGTCAAAGGCAGCTTCCGCGATAATAAATGAAGCAGTTTATGAGTTTGTGTGGGAGAATTTAAAATGTCAAACTCTTGTTTAACAATTTTTATATATATGCTTAATCTAAATATTTCAATTGACATTAAATAATTTTATTAGTTTTTGTTATTCACAATTATATACATATAAGTTTTATTGCATCATTTGGTTGATTCAAAACTCGCGCCTCTCCAATTTAACTTTTGTTCACTCCTTGTCGGCTCGCCACACGTCCGTTTGGCAGCGCAGTCAATGTTAGACTGAATTTCCGTGTGGCAATTTCAACGGCAGTTAGCGCTGGGCTGTTAAGGGTTAACAGCTGTTAGCTAACAGTGGCGTCGCGTCCTGTTAGGCGTCACTTGCTCTCTCGCTCTCGCTCTCGCTGTTGCCATGAATGGCTTCTGTGGCATAATTTCATTCATAAATTCATATATTTCACCTTGCCTCAATAGAGACGGTAAGATAGGCGCCCGTCTAACGTGACGTATACGCAATTTAGCGCCAGGTCCATAAATGGTGGGTAATTTAATGAAATGGAATTGAATTCAAAGTGGAACAAGCATATTTAGCATTATATTGAAATGGCAAATGGGCCAAGTCGCCAACAGTTACTTTTAATATTTATTGGCCAAGGCGCCGCCCATTGACGTTCAACTGGTTCTCCGCCGGGCCAGCCAGACAGCCGCAACTGTTCGAGACGCAGCGAAACAATCAAAACTCACGCGAAATCCAAGTCGCAGCTGGCTTCTAAATCGGACAGCCGTCAGTCGTCAGTGTCTGTCTGAGTGTCTACAAAATACCAAAACAAATGTCAATTGTTTTTTCTCCCTTGACTTTGGCAGGACTTTTGAGGACAACTGGCGACCGCATATTAATCTTTGGCTTTGACCGGCCATAGATTTGTGGTATTTACTTAGACACGCCTGCCCCGCCGACCCCCTGAACTGCGGCGCAAGTCGTTTTGCGGCTTTAAAGCGGATTTCGCCGGTTTCTTGTTCTGCTTCTGTTATGGCCATGCGCTTTATGGTTATGGCCAAGGGCGTATACCGTGAACACTTTGTCATCGGCTCATAATTACGCCCCGAATATGGTTTGAGTCAAACAGCTCAAGCATAAATTTATCAAATGAAAATTTTACGGCATTTTCTTATGTAAATAAACATCTGATCAAAGCGAGCATAGGCAGGGGCAGGCCACTGCAGAGTCGGCAGTAGATAGAAAAAGTGCTGAAAGGTGCAATAAAATTAAAGATGGTGCGGTTGACGCTTACGTGTGGAACCGAATTTTGGCATAGATATGAAGTATGACCTTAAAGTTGCTAGAGCAAAAACTCGATAAGGGTTTTATGATTTTTTGTGTATGCTAAGATGTTTCATTTTGGAGGTAGATGTTTAGCTAGAATACCAGTAGCAGTAGTAGTATTATTTATATCTATATATATTTAAACATATTTTTAAAATGCTAATAATACCTAATTATTGAATTTTTAAAAATATATGTATAAATTTATATTAAAAATTATAATAAAACCTAACTATGCGAAGCCTCTTTCAACTCTATTTCCTTTTATATTTAAAAACCAAAATTAATTATGAACCGCAATGCTCTTAGCAATCAAATGTTTTCATATCACATATCATCAGCAACTATTTTCACGCCCTCTCAGACAGCTCTGGCATATATACAGAAGTATAATCGCATCAAGAACATCTAAGCTGAATGTGGCGAAAGTAATCACAGACAATAATCTGCTTTTTTAACAATGGATTATTCATGAGATATGCAGATAAGATAAGCCAGAGCAAATGCTCACATTTGCTCATTGGGTATTGCGCCACCTTGGCCAGCATCCACTGGCCGGCGATTCAATTGTAATTGCTGCGACAAAGTCTGTGGTCAGGCCGGGCACAGGCTGATTAGCATAGAGCACATGTGGCGCATGTGGAGCGCCAAGCGTGGGCAGCTGTGTGGGGCTGCGAGCTGCCTAAATGGCTGGGCTTAAATCAAGGAGGGTCGACCGCAGCACGGGAGGGTGCTCTAGGGGCGCTTATCTTGATGGACGAGTGCAGTGGGGACGATAATTTGAGCAAGTTGGGCACAGCTGTAGGAGCCACAAATCTAATTGAATCGAGCGTGTGTGAGAGCTCAATGAACTTTGCATTGTAAATTCAACAGCTTTTCCTTTTTGCTTCTGTCTCTCTGCTCATTACTCATACGCCCCGAATGCCAGCTGCGGACAAGGCTTTTAATCAAATGAAGCCGCTGTCAAAAATTTCGACTTTTTCTTTTGTGGAATCGAATTTTGGGCAAGGCGGTCTAATGCTCGGCTCAATGGCTAAACGAAGAGTACAATTAGCCAGAAAAAGCTAAGACGTTGACTTGTTGCCAGCGCGTGCCTAGGTCAAATAAATCGAATGAAAAAAAAAAAAAAAACAAAATGAAAATGAAAAAGGAAAATACGTTATCCCCCTCAAAATAAAAAAGGCAAAGAAAACGATTAAAACTGCCTGTCATGCCAAATACCCTTGACTGCTCTGGAATATGCATATCACTTGAATTTCGTGGGAAACTCAAAGAGAAAACAAACAGCAGAAATGACAAAGCACACAATATGCAACAACAGTTAGAATTGTGACTTCCTGGAAAGGGATTGAAGCAGAATGCAACAAATATGCTTTGAGAACTTGTTTACATTGGACGTGTGGACATCACTTGCCAAGGCATCTAAGGCATCTAGAAGACTAGCTCAATTTCAGAAACTGGCCCAATTCGCATGAAATTTATACTTGTAAATAGTTTAGGTTATGCTGATCTTAATATACCTTTGCTAAGTGCGTTGCGTGCTCGATAAGCTGAAGCAATGGCCAACGGGTTGGTCGAACTGCGAATGACTTTTGGCCCGACCCGTGGTTTGGCTTGCAATAAAACTAAATGAATTGGAAACTTGCACAAAAATTGGACTCAGCAACTGCGATCCAAGAACCCAGCGACAATGGCGAAACTTCAAAAAGAAAACAACACAGAAACAAAAAGAACAATGGAAATAGAAATAGAAATAGAAATAAGAAAAACATCGAAGTGAAACCCGTTCGGGTGCTCCGGCTGATGTCATGCCTGTGGTTCATAAAGAAAACAAACGAATTCTTTGACTTGAGCGTAAGAAAAGCTGAACACAACTTGAAAATTGAAAGGCGACAGCTGACAATTTGCTGTTTTTCGGGCGGCCTGAGTCGGTCTCCTGGCACGTGCTGGGCTGCTGCTGTGTGTCTCTGTTTGCCTTGGCATTGAAGAGGGTGCAGGAGCCATGGCATGTCCTGGTGGGTATGGTGTCAGCTACTAAACATCTATCTCAAATGTTGTAGCGCCTACTGTTTGTTTAGGCCTTTTCTTTTGATTAAGTGGCAGCCCCCCCACTCTTGTTTATGCACTATTTGCATAGGGATTGAGATATCGAATGCATGCAATGAATTTGATTTATTTGCCCTTGTCATTCGCACGCAATTCCTCAATCGCGTCAAATAACAACATTTATGCGTTTATGGGAACTAGGCCTTAGCTTTTATGAGCCGTAAAGCTATGATAGATTCCTTGGCACACGCCCATTAAACCGACTGAGCTAACAAGCGCCCAACGGGCTCATAAAATCTTACCAACTACAAGCCATAAAATGGGCACACGCCAATTTCAGTTAGCCATTTAACTGGCCAACAATTCAGCCTGCCCATCTCTCTCTTCTCTCTCTCTCTCTCTCTCTCTCTCTCTCTCTCTCTCTCTCTCTCTCACGCACACTCTCGTTCTTTCATTCAGTCTTTCTGACGGCATTCTTATATTTCAATTTCGATAGCTGCCATTGGTGAAGCAGATTAAAAACTTGATCTATTGCTGCTTTCAGTGCTTAAAGTCTCAGTTTCAGTCATATTTTCAAGGAGAAAATTCTGGAAAAATTTAATTGCTTTCACTTGTGGATTTTAGACAATGGAAATTGATTTTAGCCTAGAATGAGAATTATATTTCTATATAATTTTGGTTATTCTTAAAAAAATTTTTGACTTTCACTGGCATATCAACTTAAAAGGAGCTCCCTATCGCTGCAAAATAAAAATAATGAAAATTTAATATTAATGTCAATAAACAAGAATGTTACAGTTGGGTCTCAACGGCTTCATAATACTCACCGTGCAAATACAGTTTAATCATGGTTGGTAAATCAGTCATCAGGGAATAACATAACTCTCCCATTTAACAGTTTTGACACGCCCCCAAGTGGCATATATGTATATATCATTTTTAGTCAAGAAATAAAAGAGATCAACAGTTGATTTTTTTATAGTTGTTTGAATTTCATTTTATTAAAGTTTTTATTTATTTTTTTTTTTTTAATTTATTTATTTTTTATTTTGTTTTTTGCTTTTTTTTTTTTTTTTTTTTTGTTGAAATTTTATTAGTAAGTAAGTATAACGGACTCTTCTAAATCTACCAAGGTCTCAAAGACTAGCTTGGCATACCAAAAATACACTGTAGGCCCCAGCCATAAAATTCGCTCGTTACAATTTTATGGCTGGGGCCTACAGTGTATTTTTGGTATGCCAAGCTAGTCTTTGAGACCTTGGTAGATTTAGAAGAGTCTGTTATATTGACTATATGCTTTTGTTTATCACAGGTTGACAACGCAAGACATATTTATTCCATAATGAACGATCGTATTTCTGAGTCTCCAAATGTAGTATTTCTCGATAATTAAATTCCACGCGTTTTCATTAAAACGAACATTGACCAAAGCCAATACACCCGTTCAGCACTCAAAAGTCTTTGCTGCCCACCAAAAAAAAAAAAAAAAAAATAATAATAATAATAATAATAATAATTAAAATTAATTATATATACTAAAATATATACATATATAAATTTCTACAGATTTATACACACGCTTAATGAAGAATCACTCTAAGGCATCGACCATAATCGAAGCATAATTAAGTTTGTAAATTTGTAATGCGGTTCGCCTTAACAACTCATTGGCTCAACTCAATTATAACTGGGAATGTCTGCTTCTGGCTGCGTAAACATTTATGAGCTTAGTATGAAGTCTTTTATTGTTAATTGAATCTATGTCAAGCTGGCTAGAATTGTGGTCATTAGTGTGGCTAAAGGTCATCATTAGTAAGGTTCTGGATGCGCCCAAGACTCGAATACACGTATTCAGCCAGGCTCAAACACTTAAAGAAGACCCTAAATAAGATTAACTTCATGCCACAATATTAGGTATTTGCATTTTTGCATAGAAAGAGACAGACAGTGCGTGAGCAAGCGAGGGAGAGAGAGTGAGAGAGAGGGCAGCAGCGCGGCCAAGAGAGCGCCGTCGCAGAATATGACTAAAAGCAACCGGTAGTTCTTGCTGTGCTGCCAGCGTCGGCAGCGACTGTTGCGTCGCACTGTTAACATCTGGCGCCAGAGATTTTTTGGCCAACAAAAATTCAGTCGCTGTTAAACGGATGCTGCGGACAGTTGTTCTGTCGCTGTCGACCAGCTCGTGGCCCGGCTACGCAAACGAAACGTGACGCGTCGTATACGCTATATATTCGAAAAACAAGTAATAACAATAAAAAAAAACAAAACAAACAAATAAATAAATGTTGAAAAATTCTTGAAAATTTTTAATTTGCTACGCACAAATTCCAATACCTAAAAAAAAACTGTTTAATTAATGTCTGGTCATAAAACTTTTTAATAAGTTAATGCGCGTGCTTTTAGCGATTGGTTACTAATATGTACATACAGGCCATATTCCAAATAAGTGAATAAATATAAGTACATACAAATATACAAATGAAGAAGAAGCAGACAAAACAAATCAACAAAGTGCATTGCTCGCAAAGTTACTCAAAACAATATCAAAAGCAATAAAAAATAATCAAAAGACGAATGCAAAAAGCTGAATGCATAAAAATGTGGCAGGCAACATTTAATAAATTTCAATTAAACGTGTTTTAAATGCACAAACGATTTCCAGCATCAAAAAAAAAAAAAAAAAAACGAACAACAGCAAAACAGCAACAAATGAATTCATAATTAATTGGGAATTAGTGAATAAATACGAAAATATTTCCAACAGCCATTAGAAAGAAATGCAAATTGAATTGACAAAAAAAAAAATTAAAAAATTAAGAAAAAAAAATATTTAAAAAAAAAATATATATATATACATATAAAACACTAGGCAAAAATATGTATTTATATATATATTTATTAATATAAAAAACGTTTTAAATATATATTTTTTTTCTACTTTATAAAAATGAATAACAAAGTCATATAAATAGCAACAATACTCATTAGAAAAAAAAATAAAGAAAAAAACAACAGAAATTCAATTAAAACTTAAGTGGAAGTATATATATTTGTTTGTTTAAAATCATATTTTTTCATTTTTTTTTTTTTTTTTTTATTTGACATCTGACATTTATTAACGATTTGTTTGGTATCTTTCGGAAAGCAATATTATCTAAAAAATCTAGCTGAAGTTGACCGTTCATTAGTGCAGATTTTGCTATTTTTTGCCAGAGCAGGCTTGGCCGGGCCATAAACCTTACCCAAAATTAAGAAACATAAGCAAATATAATAATATATAAAAATTTAATATGCAAATACTTTCCAAAAACAAAATCCAAATCCAAGTTCCAGTGATTCAAATAAACACTTTATACCAAATGTCGCTGCATAACTTATGGATGCGATGATATGATTTTTTAGCCATTAGAAAGAAAAACGAAAAAACGACAACTCGCTATATTAGTAGTTAATAAAACACAACAGTAATAAAAAACAAACCGCTAATACAAACGAAACCTGTTCTGGCCTAAACATTTGTATGAATAAAATCGAACTCGACAACATTCTTGAAAAATAACGTATGCCCGCCGCATAAAATTTGAAAACATAGCAAAACAAACAAATAAATCTGTAAAAAAAAAAAAAAAAAAAAAAAAAACCTATATAAAATAAATAAAAAAAATCATTTTCTTGTTGATTTGCAAATAACCAAAAAGTTAACTCTTATTTTGGACACTATAAACGACCTTGTCCGTTGCTAGCCAATCAAATCTCAATTTATTATGGAAATGTGCTTTGAGAGATATTGTAGATCCTACGAACTGCTTGGCTTTCTCCACCCTTACCTGGCTAATATTTAATTGATGAATATCAACGAAATTGCCGTCCGCCGCTGCCTAATGAAAATTTAATGTGCAAACTTTGCGCATTATGAAAATGTTATTGGCTCTGCAGCTGGCAGACATAATATAATTGTTTCAGCATTTGGCATATATATGTACATATATAAGTATATACATATGTGTATCCAAAGATTTGACTTTAAATAAAATTACATTTTACATATCTAATACATCAATTGGCATATACATACATATATACATATATTTACTTTGCATATTCACTCAGTCCAATTCAGCATACAAATGACACTTTAGCTGCCAAGCACACACACACAGGCACACACACACATACACACAAACACATAGAGAGAGAAAGAGAGAGAGAGAGAGAGAGAGAGACACAGCTATGCCCGCCATGTTGCCGGGCAGCGCAAATGTGTCTAGCATGGGCGCGACCACGCCCCCTTTGTCTGAGCTGCAACTGTTTCACAGTGAGAAATTCCTTTTGAATTTAACCCAAGTGCTGAACATATCAGCGGACAATCTGACGGAGCTGCTGCAGGGACTGGAGCCGCACGATCTGCTGACGAACCAAAGCTCGCACACAATGGCCACCCACATGGGTCTATTAGCCACGCTCAGCATTGGCTATGCGCTCATCTTTGTTGCCGGCGTGCTGGGCAACCTAATCACCTGCATTGTCATCTCGCGGAACAATTTCATGCACACGGCCACCAATTTCTATCTATTCAATTTGGCCATATCGGATCTCATACTGCTGTGCTCGGGTCGGTAGCATCCCGTCTATTGTGATTGTAATTAGCTGGCTAATCCTTTGGCTTGCAGGCATGCCGCAGGACCTATATAACCTCTGGCACCCAGACAGCTATCCCTTCTCAGACGGCATTTGCATACTGGAGAGCGTGCTGTCCGAGACAGCGGCCAATGCCACCGTCCTGACCATCACCTCCTTCACCGTGGAGCGCTACATTGCCATTTGCCATCCCTTCAGGTGAGTGTCCTTGACCCTGCCCACTTGCTAGCCACTTGATTGATGTCAACTCCTACCAGGCAGCACACCATGTCCAAGCTGTCGCGTGCCATCAAGTTCATCTTTGCTATTTGGATAGCCGCCCTGTTGCTCGCCCTGCCGCAGGCCATTCAATTCTCCGTGGTCACACAGAGTCCGGGCTCATCATGTACGGTAAATGTTGGTACTCTTGCTACTACTAAGACATTTCAATCTACGCTAATAGAGAGTGCTTGTAGATGAAGCAGAAGAAGAAGAAGCATGAATTCTTATAGAGTAAAGTAAAGTTAGGCAAAAGATTGTTGAACCGTAGTTGAATAAAACCTTGGAACCTTAATTGGAATTATATTCCTTATCAGTATGATCACCCGAATCACTACAGCTACTGACAGCTGTATATCGACGATTGTGCCTCCATAAACTATTTCAGCAAGTTTCTCTTCCTCTTCTTTAAGACTCTCAAAGTGGCGGATGGAACCACTTTACAACATCATTTGAGTTTATTTAAATTCCTAATTAAATTCATCATTTATAACCCACTCTTTCGGCTAGCCAAACTATTAAATTATTGTTCATTAGCATTGGACCTCTACAGCATTATATTAAAATTAGTTCTTAGTGTTTACTATGCAAAACTAATAAATTAAGCAATATCAAGCTTATTATCATGCTCAAGAATGTAGAATCTGATCGAAATTTTTTATTTATTTTTATATCATATAAGGAGAGGAGGAGAGAAAGAGGAAAGAATTTAATGGAGCACATATATGTACATATATAGGATAGGATATTTGAGTTTTACCATAATATACACTTTCCTCTTTATCCGATTATATTTGCTAAGCTAATATATATATGTTTTGAAGCATGTGCGTATATTTGTGATAAATAGGGTTTCGTATAAATAATAAGCTTTTAGTAAACCATTTTTGTATATATTTTGCTCCTCATCTCATCAAACCTGTCTTTTTGATTCGATACATATATTGTATATTCCTATATGGACTTTGTGTCTCTGTGAGACAATTCAAATTTCAGTGAATTAAATGCAATTTTTGATCTCTGTAAGTATATTCAATATCCGATAAGCCGAATAGCATTTTTGACAGCCTCCCCAAGATAAGACTTCTGTTTATTAGACCTCTGTGGTATATTTGCTGAGCTAATAATATACGTATACAGTTACTACATTACAATAAATCAAACTTAATTTTTTCAATCGTTAATACTTGTATACCCTGTCAGTTGTATTTATATTTCTATTGTTCTTTCTACACACAGTCGACTCTCGTTATTTCGGAACTCGATAATAAATAAACCTTGGAATTATCAAGGGAATTTATTTAACTGATGATATTTTACATATTCAATGTATGCTGAAATAAAGTAATCTTTGAAATGAACTCATTTATACGACTGTATGCATCTGCAAGGGCATTCAACTATCGGCACTCTGCATATAACTTTTGCCTCTCATTAATCTAGTCTCTCTGTTGCTACATATATATATGTATATATTTGTTAAGCCGAGAGACATACAGACATACATACATACAGAGATACTTATGCATCGCATTACATTGTCATTACTTTTTGACAGATGAAAAACGACTTTTTTGCACATGTCTTCGCCGTGTCCGGCTTTCTGTTCTTTGGCGGGCCGATGACGGCCATCTGTGTGCTATACGTGCTCATCGGGATTAAGCTGAAGCGCAGCCGTCTTCTCCAGGCGCTGCCGCGTCGCAGCTACGATGTTAATCGCGGCATCAGCGCTCAGACGCGCGTCATCCGGATGCTGGGTGAGTGAGTGGGTGTGTGTGGATGCCAAGGCTGCTGCTGCTGCTGCTGCTGCTGCGTGGGCATCAACTCATTGACAACTAACAAATTCATTCATTCTTCTTTTCGGTCGCCTTTCAGTCGCTGTGGCAGTTGCCTTCTTCATTTGCTGGGCGCCGTTCCATGCCCAGCGCCTGATGGCTGTCTATGGGTCCACCTTTGGCATCGAGTCGCAGTGGTTCAACGATGTGTTCAACGTATTGAACTATACATCCGGCGTGCTCTACTTTCTGTCCACCTGCATCAACCCGCTGCTGTACAACATTATGAGCCACAAGTTTCGCGAGGCATTCAAGGTAAGTGGAGCGGTCAGCAGGTCGACTCACGTTAACTCTCCTCTCTGGCCTGCAGGTGACTTTGGCTCGTCAATTCCGACTCTCGGGCAAGCATCAAGGTCACGGCTTGCCGCACAATTACAGCGCGCTGCGGCGCAATCAAACGGGCTCGCTGCGCCTGCACACAGTAAGCACACGCTAAAATGCACTAATCACCTTTGTTGGTCAAATGCCATTGCTTATTTATCCATCTGCAGGACAGCGTGCGCACAACCACAACTCTGACCACACTCAACGGCTGCAGCAGCAACGGGACTGCAGCTGGCGGCGCACGCAACTCGCAGCGCTTGCAGCGAGGGTCGCTCAACAGCTCGCACGCCACATTGCTGAGCACGCAGAGCCGCAGCAGACAAGACTTGTTTGCAGCCCGTGTGGCAGGAGGAGATGGGACAGCAGCAGCAGCAGTGGGAGCAGCAGCCACTGCTGCAGCCATGCATCCACATCCCCATCGCACGCTGCAGACACAAATCTCACAATTGTCTTCGGTGGGCGATGCCCACTCGCTGCTGGAGGCGGACCTGCAGTGGCCCGAGGAGCATTACGAGCTGGCTGCCCGGCATGGCAAGGGCTCGCATTCGGCAATGGGCGCCATTGACGAGCTGAGCTGTCAATCAAGTGCTGTAGGCGGGGCGCCTGCTGTGGGGCTGTCGAGGCCGCGTGTTAAGCTCACACGCATCACACGGCAGCCGCAGCTGCAGACAACTGCCAGCGCCTCAGCAGCAGCAGCAGCAGCAACAACAACAACACCAGCAGCGGCGACGACGACGACAGCTGCTGCTGTGGCCAAGTCAACGGGCAGTGGCAAAGTGCGCAAGGCAAAGGCTAAACGCTCGACGACACTCAAGGCTCTCAAAGTCAAATTGAATTGGCGTGGCAGGCAAAAGAAGAAGGAGGAGCCAGAGGAACAGCAGGAGGAGGCTGGCGCCAACAAAGATGCTGCTGATGGCCAGACAAGTGTGGCATCAACGCCAAGTGCCGTTTATTAGTCAGCCAGTCAGGCAGTCAGTCCATTCCAGATAAAGGACAGGTACTCGTAACTGTGATAAGAGCAGCAGCAGCAGCAGCAGCAGCAGCAGCATGAATTCGACAGCAACTACAATAAACAAAAATAATTCCAATTTGCGGCCAACCTAGAGCCAACTCAATTCCTAGCAAATACTTAGTCATATATATGTATACTATATACTCGTTATGTTTCTGATCTGCTTGCATGTGTCTCAATTTCTCTTAATAAAGCAGTCACATTTTAGCTCTCATATCTCTCTCTTTCTCTCTGTCTCTCTCTTTCACTTATATCTCAGCAGCAGCCAAATTATCTGTCACAGACTAATGAATTTCATGCAAGTCTCTAAATGCAGCAGCCACTGTAGCTTAATCCTTAGTAATTAAAATGTCTATCGGACGCATAAATTCTCTTCTTCATTTTTTCTTCTTTTTTTTTTTTTTTTTTTGGGTCTAGACTGTTCGAGTGGCTTAGCAAAGCGACAGCTGTAAAATGCGCATCAGCCATTTTTTATAAAATGGCGGTCATGTGTATGTGTGTGTGTGACAGAGTGTATGCGTGTATGTCCATGCCCTTGACTAATTACGACAACTCATTAGGCAAGCTGTTCGAGTACTTGACTCTCATATACCCGCACTCATCTGCGGCCAAATTGCAGCCGTCGAGCGAGTCATAAAGCCAAAATGCTTTAAACTAATTGAAACGAAAATTGAGTAAAATCTGTGAAGATTAATGTGAAATTGAAGTAAAGAGATTAGTGACAAAGTAAGTGATTATGCTCAGAGCATTGCCTCGTTGTCTACTTACCATTCGGCGGCTTTAATAATGCTGGATTTGGTTTTTGTTATTTAATTTTCGGTTGCAGCGACTATTACTGGCTTCTTCTTTGGCCATATACATTTGAGATGCAGGATTATTCCTATACTGAGCTGAAAATTAAATCAAGCATTGTGAAATGTGTAATGTGAGGAAAGTGTGATGGGTATAAGCTGATGAGTCTTTTGCATCTTCTTTTATGGCGCAGACTTCTGGTAAGCATGTTAGCCTGCAAAAACAGTTTGTGGGGATATGTTGCTGATTGCTTGTTTATGAAATGAATCATATACAAAGGAAGTGCTGAGCTCAATAATTTGGCAAAACAAATAATGCTTGAATTTCAATTCAGCTAAACGGCTCAACAAAGTTTTTTGAAATTTATCGATCAAGTATTTGCATGAGTTTGAATTTTTCGGAATGTATTATCAAAATCAGAGCCAATATTCATTCTTAATATTCTAACAGAAAATAGTAGCTAAAAGGTATAAATATCTGTTCAAGCAAAAATATACTTGAAAAGAGTTTATAGTAGCAACTTCTTCCCCTCTGCCTCGAGTTGCAAAGTTGCTCAAAGTGATTTTATTGTAATTTACATGGACAGCAAACTAAGATGAGCTAAGATGCAGCGTCCCCTTTCACTTCGCTTACACAGAACGTAGAGAAAACTAAATAATAATATACTTATTTATCATGTTTATTTATTTTTTATTTAAGACTACTCCATCTTATCAAAACTTTCTATAACATTAACTTTCCATAAAAACTTTTTTATTTGTCGCTAAAATAAGTTGGCCCAGCAGAGGCCGTTCAGGTGAGCTGATTATTAATTCAACAGAAAATAATTCGACGAGTGAGTAATATAGATGGCACATAAGGCAAATCTCCAGAAAACTCAATTCCATTGATTACTTTACTTGATTATCTGAATTGAAATTGAAATCCAGTTAAGTAACATACTAAATCATTGTCCGCTTACCTTACATCCTAATTTCAAGTTAACAACTCCTCTCAGACCTTCTGGTGCAGGTATGCACAAAGTGCCTGCTGTGCACTTTGTCACACATTTAGTTTTAATTGTCAGCGAGGAATTAATTAAGCGCTAGAGCGCAATTCTGTGGCTGGAACCACGTGTTAGCCAGAATAAATGTTTCGTAAATTCATAAAGTGCAGCGCATGCTGCACAGTTGCTGGCAACATTTTATAGTTGACAGCATTAGAAGCCACTTTGACCGCAGCATAACGAAAATGTTGGCCAAATGAAAGGAACATTTATAAATGCCAACTGGCGCAGGTGAAAGCGAAACCAAATGCGGTCCAATCCAGTTGGGCTCTAACAATCTGTGCCAAAAATGTTGGGCTTAAAGCTAGCTGGGATCTTTGAAACAGTTAAAGGCAAGCTTTACTTACTACACATTACAATTTGGTATAAAATACTTGTAGCTATGCCAGACATCACATCAAGTATACGCAGTGAGTCACATCGTGGCGCTTGGTCAATGCCCAGCCGGGAATTTCCATCAACTGTCGGTAGTTGAGTAAGTAACTGATTCACTTTACTATGCTAATCATTTGGTTTATGAACAAAAACAGGCTGTTCGTCTGCTGTCCCGACAAAGCGACAGCAGCTAGGAAAAAAAATAATAATAATAATAACGAAAAAAGAAAAACATTTTCATCAAATTTGCCAGCATTTATCGTGTGTGACATGTCAAAGTCTAAATAGTTGCCGATGAACTTTATCAGTTTTTATGCCCGACCTAAAAAAACGAACGAAGAAAAGAATACGTGCGTACGCCTGATATGCAGACATGGCCAAAAATTGGTTACTTTGGCAACCGCACAATAAATTTTAGTGTCCCCTTATGCCATCAAATTTACTATCGCTTTGCCATTCATTCAACTTGTCTGGGCGCTGATAGAGCGGGCTCTGTACTCGCAGCATTCAATTTACGGGCAAGTGAAATGAAAATGCTCCTTTCTGTTTGTTTGTTTCTTGCTTTATTTTCCTTACGTCTGTTTTGTATTTTAAATTTTGCTAATACGTCTTTACACACTCACGCACTCGCAATGGCACACACAATTGAGATTGAGCGCATAAATTGCATGCGAGTATCGGATAAGACGACGAGTGAGAACTAAGGGACTCGCAGCGCCCCTTATAGTCAGGCAATAAACTCCGCTCACAAACACAATTCCATTTATATGTAGAGGCGCCCCGTTAGCATTTCAAATGCGCCTTATCAATTGGGGGCGTAATGACGAGCCCATAAATTATTGTTGCCTACTTTCTTGCGGCGCCGCTACTGAAATTATTTATCGCTCTCCGATGGGGCTCACACTCGATATCAAGTTATTTAAGGCTCAATTAGTTAACACGCCTCATTCGCACTCTAATTGCCAGACGCAAGCAGCCAATGGCAAATATTAACATAAATTTGCATAGAAAACACATGTGAAAATGATTTGATTTGAGCATTTGAGCACGTATTGGTCAGTGCCTAGAGGGGAGATCGGGTCGTGGCACGAATTATAATATATCTATATCTATATCTATATCTATATCTATATCTATATCTATATCTATATCTATATCTATATCTATATCTATATCTATATCTATATCTATATCTATATCTATATCTATATCTATATCTATATCTATATCTATATCTATATCTATATCTATATCTATATCTATATCTATATCTATATCTATATCTATATCTATATCTATATCTATATCTATATCTATATCTATATCTATATCTATATCTATATCTATATCTATATCTATATCTATATCTATATCTATATCTATATCTATATCTATATCTATATCTATATCTATATCTATATCTATATCTATATCTATATCTATATCTATATCTATATCTATATCTATATCTATATCTATATCTATATCTATATCTATATCTATATCTATATCTATATATCTATATCTATATCTATATCTATATCTATATCTATATCTATATCTGTATCTATATCTATATCTATATCTATATCTATATCTATATCTATATATCTATATCTATATCTATATCTATATCTATATCTATATCTATATCTATATCTATATCTATATCTATATCTATATCTATATCTATATCTATATCTATATCTATATCTATATCTATATCTATATCTATATCTATATCTATATCTATATCTATATCTATATCTATATATATATATATATATCTATCTATATCTAACTGTATCTATATCACACTCAACGCTCGCATCTCTACATCGAAGCTGAAGGAATAAAAATACTTACTTAATATCAAAGTTCTTGAGCATAGCAGTTATTCAGCTGGCACGTACAAATCGCCTGAGATGTCAATGGTGAGGCTGGGGTAGAGGAGACGAATGAACAGGGATAGATGATTGGGATTTCTGGATGTTTGCTTAAGCCTAGTAGCCTTTAGCCTTTTGACTTTGCATTTGCCATTGACTACACGCTCTCTGATTTGATAATCTTCTATTTCCGTTTCTGTTTCGCTTTCGCTTTCACTTTCTCTTTCTCCTCTTCTTCATTCCGTTGGCATTTGCTTTTGGCTGGCATTGTTCTTGCCATTTGGCACGTTGTTAGTGGCCTTTGGGTGCGTGCAGTTGTCGTAAAATGGAATTTGATAGGCCATGACATGAATATAGTAGCTGGACACATATACACACACACACACACACAGGCATACTTGCATACATTTACAATCTGCGATTGCCTAAATGCCAAATAAAGTGCAATTCAATGATCGAGCCCCGTGGCAAACATAAAATACCAAACATGCTAAAAACATCAACGACTGTCTAATACCCTACCCAAAAAAATACTGCATATTTGTATGGGCTTATAATTTGATCGACAAATCCATTTATAAGATCTGTAAAACATTTGAATACTATATGATGTGAAAAGAATCATTGTGTTCAAAATGGATTCAGCACAACAAATGGCAAACATAATAATATACATTTGCTATTATTTCTAAACGGAGCACAAGTACTCAAATTGAATATCCAAACAAAAAGCCAGTGAGCAAGTCTAGGGCATGCTAGACTAGAAGATACCGTGAACACCGAATAATCAGAATTTAAAGGAATATTTGATATTTATAGGTTCTTAAATTAACGGAAGGGCAGACGAACTAATCTACGCAGATTGTCGTCCATTATCAGGTCTAGTCCATTTGTCCGTCCGTTGCATACAATCCTACAAATCATCATACCCGGTTTTCCAATTTTCAATGGGCACGCAAATCTCTTTGCTTTTTTAAAAGCAAAAATTTGTAAAATAATTTGCTGACTCTGACTTGGCGACAAATTGTTGGCATGGCCTGCGATAAGACTTATATAGAAATGTTTTGCATATTTGCGTCACGTTGACAATAATACTGAAGGTAGGCAGGCTACTTA